CTTTTACAGCCTTCCAGTATGTCCATTTGTGCTTTTTTATACCAGCAGACCTTGATTTTAGATTTATATACAAATGAACACCACAAAGTCCATGAAAAGCATCTGGGAAACACCTTCTAACAGCGTTGTCAATTGAGTTTGCCCTATCGGATATGATTTTCAGATTGCTAATAGGACCTATGCAATCCCTAAGATGCCCATAAACCATGTCCATGAATCAGAGGTTTCAGATTTGCCAACCCTGTAAGCTATTGGCAATATCCCATTGTTAGCATCCATGGCTACTGCTAATAAGTTTACTCCAAGGTATCGACCTTTCAAATGTGCTCCGTCAACTATAATAACTGGGCGCATGCAAGTAATAAACGAACGAATCTACAAAATAATATACACAAGAAATATAATCATTTAAATGTGAAATGCATGTAACTAACAAAAATGAGTCAACAAAATTATATTGATTTACTAACCGTAGCACCAATGGCGATAAACAGCAACTCAAAGCGTCCATCTCTATCTGTTTTGATATGAGTTACCGACCCAGGATTTTTCAGCTTTAAATTGTGACAATAAGCCGGCAGTTGGGCAAACGATGCTTCTGGCGACCCCCTCAACAATTCCAAGGCATAACATTTGGCTCTCCAAGCTTGAGAATATGATATACTAATCTTGAACCGAGCATTCATGTCAGTCATAATTTCATGTCCCCGATATACCCTGCCATTCAAAAACATTAACTCAGCCAGAAAACCACCCAACACCTTTTTGTTTGCCTGTCTATGGTGAGGAAAAACTTGGGTTCTTGAACATGTATGTTTATCAATAAAAGTCCTAACTTGAAACATTTCGCAATCTTTTATTCTCTTTGCAATCATTCGCCACATACAGTTTTTGTCAATCATACACCTTGTTTCGAAACGATCTTTGCTTGATTTGTTAACTTTTAGTTGATAGCCATCTTCCACACATTTCGTATACAAAGCTATCTTCAAGTCTTCCTTTGTATCAAAACAATCATCTTTCTTGATACGAATAACTTTTGTGTAACAATCAACTGCTTTCTTTACCAACTCTTCTTCCGGTATCTGAAGTAATTCTGGCATATTCCAGTTATACGCCCGTGGCATTTTCTTTTCTTCGGGGATTTTTCTTCTTCTTTTTCTTCTTCAGGATTATATGAATTACAGAATGGATGTTCAACATGTTCATTCACAGTCGTAACTTCCTCCTCATTATCATCAACAATACATTCTTCGGCAACGGCTGTTTCATCATCAAAATTCGGGTATTGACCAATATCAAAATCATTACACGCAGGGTCTGTTTCTTCTTCTGAAACATCATCAAAATCCGTGTATTGACCAATATCAAAGTCCGGATATTGACCAAGACCAAATTTCGAATACTGACTAGTACTCACAATTTTTTCTGTTGGCTCATCATCGTCTAACTGGTCAATACGAAAACCGGAATTTGGTGCTGAAAGTTGATTGGGATTTGGATTAGAGAAAGGTTGTGGGTTTTGAGAAAAACTTAGTTGATTACTACCCGCTACTGACCCAACAATACTACTTCTAGGTTCAACAACATACAATGTAACATCATCTTGTGAAACACTAATGTAAGCAATGAATCGTTCAACATCTTCATTGTCGGTTAACAAATAAACTTTACCATTTCTCTGATAAGATAGCCTAAATCCACTTAGGGGCTCTAAATTCAATTTATTTGAAACACGTAGCATTAGAGTTTCATAAGTTAACTTTTGTAAAGACAATTTTAGTTGAAGATTCATGGGTAAAGGCATATATTGTAAAACACCATGAACATTATCCCATGACCCTCCAAAACACAAATCTATCCAAACATGATCAACATTAGATGATTTCATGGTTGTAAATTAATTTACTAAACAGACGAGCTGCGAAACTAAAACCTGTTGCCGGATTGGGAAGGATGTCGTTGGATATAGGAACGGATGTCGCCGGAGAGAGTGATAGATGGAGATGGAATGAGTTGCGATTTAGGGATTTAGTTTATGATTTCAGTGTTATATACCCAAAATTTCAGTGTTGTGATTTACAGATTCTCGTTGCGATTTACGGATTATCGTTGCGATTTACAGATTCTCGTTGCGATTTACGGATTATCGTTGCGATTTACAGATTCTCGTTGCGATTTACGGATTATCGTTGCGATTTACGGATACGCGTTGCGATATACGGATACGCATTGCGATTTACGGATACGCGTTGCGATATACGGATACACGTTGCGATTTACGGATACGCGTTGCGATTTATGTGTTCGCGTTGCGATTTTCATATTCACGTTGCGATTTTGGAAAATCGCAATGCGAATTTGTACTATCGCATTGCGATTTTCAAGAATCGCGTTGCGATTTTGGAAACTGATTTGCGATTCTGGGGATCGCGTTGCGATTTTTATTTCGCGTTGCGATTTTGTTGGTCATTTTGGCAAATCCAAAAAAAGTTGGTTAAAATCGTATATTATAACTTTTTTTTGGTCACTGAGGCGATTTTCTCTAAAGATATATATAATTCCTTAAACTCAAATACTCTAAAATAAATGATTTTCTCCTTTATGCTATTCATAAAATTTAACCTATAATTTATTACTATATTCTATGTAAAACGACCCACCCTTTCTAGAAAGAATTGAAATGAAGTGAAAATAAATTGAATTCAAGATAAGCCACAAATGTGAATGTTGAAAAATCAACAAATGTTGGATCAATTCACATTAAAATCATGCCTAACGTTTAGTTTTTATTTTATTTTAGTACCCGCCGTTAAAAAATTAATGGACGAACTGACATAGCATAGCTCCAATGGACAGACGACCAATCAGAGGATGAAGAAATCGAAGAGTCCATCGGCTATTAAAGGAGATTTGAGGTGTTTCCCGACGAAACGAATGCCAAAGTCGAGTTCATAGACTAACGGATACAACGGACGACAATTGCAGACGTGACGGCTACCGAGCCACTCCGTTAAGTTTTTAACAGTGGATACTAAAATGAAATAAAAACTAAATGTTAACTATAATTTTGAAAAAAAATAAAAGTTTATGCACTAAAACAGACTGAAATTGATAATTTAGATATTAAACACGTTGTTTACCCATTAAATTTTATAAGTAAATAGATGAGGTTCGTGTGAATCGTTCCTTGAAATAATAAGATAATAGATATTTATATTAATTATTTAAATATAAAATCTAATATAAATTATTAAATATTTTATAGTTTAAACTTGAATACATTGTTGATGATGTTAGCATTAACTTTATAATAATGTTTTTATATTTATAAAATGAGTAACCTTTGTGTCGTATTCTTAGTATATCCAATTTGTGGGTCATTGACCATAGATAATGTTATTTGATTTATATAATAAATTATCGAATTTATATAAATATCTAATACTTAAATAAAAGGAATAAATCAAAATTAATTTATGTTAACGTGGAGTTATTGTATATTAAGTCTTGAAATATTTTTTTCATATTTTAAGAAATGAAAATATTTTCAAAATATTTTTTACTTAAATGTTAATTGTTTTTAAGGTAGAGTACACCAATGGTCCCTCAACTGCAGGGCATTGTCTTATTGAGTCATCCGATTATTAAAAGTTACAAAATGATACATTGATTATAAGATGTTGCTTTTTTTATTCCCCCGACTATTAAAAGTTACAAAATAGTCACTTGATTATTCACTGTGTTCCAAACTAGACAATTCCCGTTAAAAAATTAATGGCAGATATAGCTTGGCGTTAACCTGCTGAGTAGGATATGATATAATATGATTCCTAAAATCTTAAATGACTATCATATCCAGTCAGCAGGTTAATGTCTAGCCCAAATTATCATAAATTTTTTAACGAAAAATTATGAGTCTGGAACAAATGAATACTCGGATAACCATTTTGTAACTTTTAATAGTTGAGGGACTCATCAAAGCAACATCCTATAGTTAAGAGACTATTTTATAACTTTTAATAAACGACGAACTTATTAATTGAACCAACATTGAACTAATAAATGTTAAATGTTGTTATTTAAGATAAAAAAATGTATGTTGTATAAGATTAGGGTAAAATATACAAATGGTCCCTCGGTTATAGAATATTGTTTTATTAATTCCTCGACTATTAAAACTTACAAAAATGGTCCTCTGATTATAGATTGTTGCTTTGTTGAGTCCCTTGACTATTAAAAAGTTACAAAATGGCCACCTGACTATTCATTATGTTCCAAACTCGTTATTTTTTTGTTAAAAGTTTGACGGTATTTTGAGCTAAACGTTAACATGCTGACTAAGATATGATAAAATATGATTTTAAAATCTCAAACGACTATCATATCTTAGTCATCATGTTAACATCCAACTGCGGCAACCATCAAATTTTTAACGGAGAATGATGAGTTCGGAACTTAATGAATAGTCGGATGACCATTTTGTAACTTTTAATAGTTGAGTGACTTAATAAAACGATATTCTATAGTCATATGATAATTTTTGACTTATAATAGTCGATGGACTTAAAAAAATGATATTCTATAGCCAGATGACCATTTTGTAAGTTTTAATAGTCGAGGGATTTAATAAAATGATATTCTATAGTCAAATAATAATTTTGTAACTTTTAATAGTCATGAGACATAATAAAATAATATCCTATAGTCGGAGGACCATTTGTGTACTTTACCCATAAAATTATTCCTTAATAATGTTCATTTTCAAAGTCTATATCTATTTCGAATTTGTACAAAATTCTCTGCACAATCTAAAAAAAAATCCTTTCTTTAGTCAAAGGCGAGCACTGGAATCTAATATAATCAAATTTTAACCAAGAAAGAATCAACTTTCTTAACAAAATTCAGATGAAAATATATACAGATAAGTTACAAATAAATATAATAATAACTGTAGAATAATAAACGTTTAAACAAACAAAATCCGATGTGAACACCAGAAACTGTTGTCATATAATGCAAAGACTCCTACGTTGGCCGAAATTCTGGAGTCTTTGGTCAATCCAAAGTGATCTTCTTGTAGATTACCGGAAACCCCAAAGCCTTGGATGCAAATTTAAAAGAAAAAGAGAGATTGTTTACTACAATTTTTCACTTGGAAAAACAAAATCTGTTCTTTCCCACGTGAGTTGAGAAAACAAAACTTGAGAATTTTTCTTTGCCCGTGAAGGAATTGTTTTTTCTGGTGTTTACCTATGCAGAAACCAGGTTTGTTTCTTAAATTAGCTTCATTTTGGACTTTTCAATGTTTTCTTTATGTTAATTTTCAGTTTATATTCATTGAACATGGGGGGTTTTATCCTGTCTCGTTGTTTTTGCTTTGAATAGAAGTTTAGGGTTAGACTTTACTTGCATTAATAGCTTTAGATTCTGAGATTTTTCAGATCTAGGTTTTGTTTACTTTATCCAGAAATTTTTTTTTCTTTTATGCTTCTGGGTTTTTTAGTTCATGCATCAGGTTTTCAGATTTTGATGATTAAAAAAAGAAAACTTAATTTAGATAATATTCTTCTTATGCAAATTACAATTTGGACAAAGTCAAATGCTTGATAGTAACTTCTCTTCAGAAGGCAGATTCCATGGTAGCTTAGTTAAAATGTATATTTGATTAATTATTTATCTTTTTTTAATGTTGCTTTAACTAATTGTTCACCTTTATGCAACATATCTTCTCCTTTTTTTGTTTGTTTGTTCTCTCTCTTTGATGATTTGTTGTTATTTTATTGCTTTTCTGCATGTGGTCTTTCTCCAATTTCTTCTGCATGAAATATTAATGGTGTTTTTTCTTCTAACAGCTATACAATGGTAGAATTTGAGATGTGTATATAAAGGGAAAGGCCTTGAGCTGAATATCTACGGCACTTTTCGGTTCCATTCGAACACAATTTTGCTTTGAAACTTGTTTATTTTGATTCTATGATAAGGTCTAGCAATGGTGCCATCGAAAATGGAGAAGAAATATGTGTTTCCCATTGTGATAAGTTCTCTTGTATGCGCGTTTATTCTCTTCACTTCCTTGAACATGGGGCTTGTTTCTTCGGTTAACAAAATCAACTCAATCTTCCCCATCTCTATGACTCAAAGGAAATCGGGATATGTTGAATTGAAGGTCGAGCTAGATACACCTCGGCCTCCGCCTCCTGGTCCGGCATTACCTCGTTTTGCTTATTTGGTTTCCGGTTCAAAAGGTGATCTGGAATTGCTTTGGAGAACCCTTCATGCCCTGTATCATCCACGGAATGAATATGTGGTTCATTTGGACCTTGAGGCGCCTCTAGAGGAAAGAATGGCACTCGCTTCTCGGATCGATAACCATACCGTTTTCTCTAAAGTCGGGAATGTTTATATGATCACTAAGGCTAATATGGTTACTTACAGAGGGCCAACAATGGTTGCTAATACACTCCATGCTTGTGCCATTCTTCTTAAGAGAAATAAAGATTGGGATTGGTTTATCAATCTCAGTGCATCAGATTATCCTTTAGTGACTCAAGATGGTTAGTTTCTATCATATGCCTTCATTCTTGGGGTAGTGGATCTTCCTTCGAGTTTCGAGTTTCAAGTTGTTCTATTCTGCACAAGCAACTGTTGATAGATTAGTTTGTGATTTACAGATCTTATTTATACATTTACGAATTTAAGCCGGGACCTTAATTTTATCGAGCACACAAGCAATCTTGGTTGGAAAGCGTAAGATCTCTCTCGTTCCTTTCCGATTCGGAAAATCTTTACATATGTCTAAAAATCCAAAATGTTTGTCTGTTGTTTTTGCAGGGGTCAAAGAGCTATGCCTTTGATTGTAGATCCTGGACTCTATTTGTCAACAAAGTCTGATATATATCCGGCCACACCGCGAAGAGCATTGCCTACAGCATTTAAATTATTCACCGGTTTGCTACTGTCTTAGCCTGATTTTGTTTAATTCCTGCTCTTAATTCTTTGCATCTTTAGCTTTTTAATCTTGTAGGCTTATTAGATTATTGTTATGGATCTCGTCTGAAGACCGGTAATCCTTCTTTTTTCAATCTAAGATCGAATTATTTGAAGCTATGGGGTGTGTTTGAGTTAAATTAGTTACAGATTAGGCTTATCAGGCTACCCCTGCTGAAACATAATGGAACCATATTTGCATCGACTTACCATGCAGCTGGATTGATCCTTGTTCTTAAAGAAATATCTCGTTTTTGTCTGAAAACCACGTATATGTTTTAAAATACCTTCCTCAATTTCAGGTTCGGCATGGATGGTTCTGTCTCGTTCATTCGTAGAATTCTGTGTTTGGGGTTGGGATAACCTACCAAGAACACTTCTCATGTACTACACAAACTTTGTCTCCTCCCCTGAAGGCTACTTTCAGACGGTCGTATGCAATGTTCCTGAGTTCGCAAAGACGGTTGTCAACCATGATATGCATTATATTTCGTGGGATACTCCCCCGAAACAACACCCGCACATCCTTAACATTAACGACACGGATAAGATTATTAGAAGTAATGCACCATTTGCCCGGAAATTCATACATGATGATCCTGTCTTGGATAAGATCGATACGGATTTGCTTGGCAGGGAAAACAGAAGCTTCACTCCGGGTGCTTGGTGTTCCGGCAAACCGACATGTTCGGAAGTTGGGGATTCGAACAAGATCAGACCGGGTCCAGGAGTTCAAAGGCTTAACCAACTTGTAACTAGGTTAGTTATGAAAGCTAATAATGGTCAAGATCAGTGTAGATAGGTCCTAGTGGAGAAGTCCCATTAATGAGGCATAGAACAGATTAAGCATTTGTATCTAATAGAACTTCAATAAGAGCACTGGTAATTGGACCTATGATTTGAATAGTTTGGATTTGGTTCGAAGAATTTCGGTTCAAGTTCGGGTCATCATACTCGCAACAAAGATCGGAATATTTATAAATGGTTTCATCAAGAAACGGCAGACTGTGATGGATCAGAAAATTAAATATTCTTGCTAAAAAATGATTACGAACTATAAGCATTACAAAATATACAAGAGGATTGATTTGTGTCGTGATCAGAGATTTCAGAATTAGAATTAGAAGAAAGAAATAGAAGGCTTGGGATTTAAGGAAAAAGGAATACCAGAATATTCATATATATCTTTAGCTATTGCATCAATCTCTATTTATACGTGCATGACATTAGAAACAGACAAAATCAGTAAGAGCTTTTGGAGGCCTTCTCTCTCTCAGTCCCTAGCGCCTCTCTTGCTTCTCTGCAGCTATCGGTTCCGGCTTGGTGATTTCTTCATGGGCCGATTCAAGTAACAGATCCTTGGTTGTCTCATTTGCTCCTCCCATAACATTACCCCCTCCTTCAATAAGAACCTTGTCCTCAAGGTTTTCATCAGTAGCTTGTTCCGTTATATTTTCTGTCATCAGTGGCAACGGGGTGATCTGTTGTAGCGGATGTCCCCGGCATGGCTTAAGCTGGGACGCATGGAAGATGGGATGAATCCGAGTGGATTCTGGTAGTTTCAACTTGTAAGCCACTGCACCCACACGCTTCTCAATCTGGTATGGTCCAATAAAACGGGGACTCAATTTCTGCTGTCTTCTTAACCTGAGGGAGAGTTGCCTATAGGGTTGCAACTTGACAAACGCCCAATTTCCAACATCTAACTCCAATTATCAACGGTGTTTGTCCGCTTGGTTCTTCATCCGAACTTGGGCATGCAGCAAGTTTTTTTCCAGTAACTTCAATATCTCATCACGTTCTTGTAGTTCTTGGTTTACATGATCATTTGAGGAATTTTCCTTCTAGATAATTCACCATGGCCGGGGGATCTCGCCCATACAAGGCTTTAAAAGGTGTCATGCCAGCATAGCTTTGATAAGCCGGGTTATACAAATATTTGGCCCAGGCCAAGTATTGTTCCCATTTACTTGGATCCTCATCTGCCATACACCGTAAGTACATCTCTAGACAACGGTTCAATGCTTCCATTTGTCCATCCGTTTGAGGGTGGTATGCGAAACTCATGCACAATTCGGTTCCCTGCATCTTTGCCATCTCGGTCCATACTTCGCTAACAAAAACCTGATCCCTATCACTCACCATGGATTTCGGAATTCCATGAAGTTTTACGACTCCCTCTGTCAGCACCTTCTCCACTCCTTTGCTGTCAAAGTGTTTCGGCAGCGCAAAAAAATGGCTATACTTGGTAAGGCGATCGACAACCACAAGGATGGTCTCTTTTCCATTTGACTTTGGTAGGTCGACAATAAAATCCAACGAGATATCTTCGAATACTTGGTTTGTAATAGGCAGGGGTTGCAATAATCCAGCTGGGGTCAAACTTTCAGTTTTCATTCTCTGACAAATTTGGCACTCTCTAACAAAGTGTTGAACATCCTTCCGCATGCCTATCCAAAAGAAATTAGCCGATAATCGCTTGTGAGTGCGATTAATTCCAACATGTCCCCTATCTTTGAACAATGAAACTCTCGCAGCAATAGAGAGCTTAATGATGCTTCTTTGGGCACCACAATTCGACCTTGAAACACCATTAATCCTTCTCGCTCAGTATACCCGAGGTTTTCTAGTTCACCCATCCTTACTTTCTGTCGAAGTTCCTGGATTCCCACATCATGTTCGTACGCTGCTCGAATATCTTCAAGCACTCCAAACAAGGGTCGAGACAATGCCATGCAACTTGCTTCAACTTTCCTTGACAAACCATCTACAACATCATTGAGCTTTCCTGGTCTGTATCGTATTTCAAAGTCATAACCAATTAACTTTAACAGCCATCGTTGTTGTTCCGGCGTCTGAATAGTTTGTTGAGTGAGCTCCCGGAGTGATTGGTGATGATGATAAACCTTCGACCTAGCAAATATTGACGCCATTTTTCCACCGCTTGGGTAATCACATACATCTCCCGGTGATAGGTTGAGGCGCCCTGCATTCGTGGACTCAACTTTTGACTATAAAATGATAGTGGTTTGCCATCCTGCTGGAGCACTGCTCCTATTCCAACACCAAAAGCATCAGTTTCCACGATAAATTTCTTGTTGAAGTCCAACAATACCAATTTAACATGATGAAGATCTTCCTGCCAATCTTTGCTGTAAATCAAAATGTCATCTAGGAAAATGAGTATGAACTTACGTAAATAAGGTTTAAATAAATCATTCATGGTTGTTTGAAAAGTTGACAGAGCATTAGTAAGCCCAAACGGCATTACGAGAAATTCGTAATGACCCTCGTGTGTTCGAAATGCCATCTTGGACACATCTTCAGCTCTCTCTCTGATTTGGTGATATACAGCTAGCAAGTCCAACTTCGAGAAAAAACGAGACCCTCCCAATTCATCAAACAACTCCTCGGCAGTGGGAATAGGGAATTTGTTGGGATATTCAATGAAGCTCAATTGAACAATCGAATGAATTGCCAAGAGGGGTGAAATGGTTTTGAGAGTTTAGGGAGTAGGAAGTATAAAAAGATAGACAATTGGCACAAGGATTTATAGTGGTTCAACTTCTCAACCAAGTCTACATCCACTACCTTAGCTCATCACTAAAGATTTTCTAACAAATTCACGAATTTGTTCTTTCTTTTTTCATGATAAAGAGATAACATTTACAACTCCTAAGCTTTTCACATGCTAAGCTAGAACCAATCCCCTTTTACAAATGATAAGAAATGTAAACAAGAAAAACCTCTCAAAAGTAGGGCTGACAATGGATCGGAGATGGGTCGGGTGGAGCTTCATCCGCCCCATCATCGCGGTCCAAATCTCCATCCACACTATCCATCACCCACCAAAAATCTCATCCATATCCGCTCCATCCATCATCCGCGGGTGGAGCGGGTGGAGCGGATGAGAAATTGATGATACTATGAACAAAACCTATTTTTACATCCTAAGCTCAAATTCTTCTAACATTCATAGAAACCAAACATTGATACTCAAACATTCATAGAAACCAAAACATGAACAATAAATTTTCATCAAATTCAAACAAAAACAAAATGAAACACAGTTTATGTAGTCTTATGCACTATGTTTGTGATACATTTTTCAAGTGAATAGATGCATCATGTATAGTCTTATACACCAAATATAATCTTTAAATCTTCATCAATAAACTATCACTTCTCAAAAGTCCTATCCATCCTAGTATCAATATGGATAAACCAATATTAAAAAATTAGACATATTTTCAATGGGATAAAAGTCAGAATTAAGAGAATAAGAATATTTACAATCATTCGTTTATTTTTTAATATATATATATATGGATGGATGGATGAATGGATGGATGGATGGATATATTAATGGGTAGATGGATGTTGCGGGTGATGGGTCAAAAAAATTTCATCCATATCCGACCCGATCCATCCATCACCCGCCAATCATCCGTTTCACAGCGGGTTTTCATCCATTTATTCGGGGCGGGTGGGTGGATAATCCACTTAACCATGGATAATTGTCAGCCCTACTCAAAAGGAAAGTATTTACAAAGATTTAAGCTTACAAGAAAACAATTAAAAGATTTGAAATGAGCTCTAAAATACAAATATTTACAAGAGAAAATAAAATATTTTATCGTGTTTGAAAGAGGTTGTGTAAACAATTTTCCACTAGTTGATATTTTTTTAAAAATTATTTATTACAAATATTAAATACAATAAATAATATTATTTATTATAAAAACTTATATTATTATTTTTGAAATATTATAATAATTTATTATTAAAATATTATTTTTATAATTTTATAAATAAAATATTAAGATTAGTACATTTGATTGAAATAAAAATATTTCTAAATTATATTAATTATTTATTAAAGTAAGAGTGTTATACTATATTTTGAAAATTATTAATTAATATATTTTAAACATCTTTATTAAAATATTAATAAATTATTATATTACTATTAAATATATAAATAATATTATCCATTATTAATAATTAATTATATATTATTAAAATATAATATAATATCTTACATTATTATAATATAATTGATCATAATTTATAAATTTATAATATTAAATATACAATATTATATTATTTAAAATATTAATAAATATATTTTAATAATCAATATTTTAATTAAAATATTGATTATTAAAATATTATATTAATATTAAATACAAAAAATAAAATTATTTTGAGTGTTTATTTTTTTGAAATGAAAAGTTCGAAAAATGACTCATGAAAAACAAATCGTAAGTCATTTTTCAAAAAAAACAAATAAAATTATATTGATTAGGAAAATATTTTAAATTGATCAACTAATTTTCTTCTAACCAAACACTTTAAAATGAAAAAATGTTTTTAAAAATATTTTATTTGAAACAAACGACCCTACATAACTCACTTACACCGTACTAAATCTTTTTCTGTTGGGTCTACCTTTTTCTTAAAAAAATCAATTACGTCCTAGAAAATGTAATTTAGATATGGAGGAGCCTATATTATTGCTTCTTGGGCTTCATTTTCTATAAACTATTTGAACCATAAAAGGCTAGCCCAATTTTCGCGTAGTTCTTTTTAGTTGCCTCCGATAAACCTGTAGAAAACCCAGCAGCGACCGCCAGTGGCCTGATCTACATCTTCCCTGCTTAAAGTTCAGCGTTATTTTCCCAGAACTTCTATTGTAGCAATAAAGATTCAATTTTTATCATTCCAATTATTAACTTCATTGATTCTTGCTTATATCTATCTGGGTTTTCATTGTTCTGTTGAATTGTGACTGTTTTTTTCCTTTTCCTGATGAAAATTCTCTGTTTTTGGACTACATTCTAGGGAGAATTCTTGAGTTTTCTGTTCTGGGTATTTGTTG